CATGGAGCACACCATCCAGTGCTTCACCTACACCGGATTAGGCCCTCCGGCCCATGAACTGAGTAGAGGTTGGAGGTTCCAGTCCCACCCATCAGGGTTTCCCAAATAACTAAGCCCGTCACCTCCCCTGGCTCTTGCCCCCTTTTCTCCCCACCAGCAATTTTCTGGCAGTTTCCTGGCTTTTTGTAGTGTTTTCTCCCTGTGTAAGAGGTCATAATGCCTCACCTGAGAGCAAGTTACTGGCACAAAGATGTTAAAGCTGCAATATGCTGTCCCTTTCAGTGTTTTACTCCCTCCCTCACCTCTTGCTTTGCTTCAGGTCTTCCCACCCCTGAAATGCAGGCGCCGAGATTGTTTCCAGCATGAGTTTCTGCCCTTTGCTGAAAGAGCTTCAACGCCCCTGATCTGTCCCTCAAATGCCAGACATAAGCTGTTGACTCCCACTTTCCATTATTATGGATTGTTTATATTTTAGGAAGTTTCTCCATAATAGGTAGAAATTACTTTGGACAGAATTTGCTCTTTTTGTAAAGAAACAAATTCCCTGCAAACAGCAAAACGTTCCTCCCAAATGATGAATCACAGATTATGTATCTGTCAGTAAATGTATTGTTTACCTCAGCCTATCTCTGAGATGCTTCTGCACCACCTGTCACTTCAATGGAAGAGCTATTTCGGTGTTAGGGATGGTGCTTGTTTTGGAAAAAAAATGCATGAGAGCTTTGAGAAAAATGAGCAGATCTGGGCCCAACTCCCTATCCAGGTAGCTGAGAAGACATCATTAACCTGAATGATCTTGCGAGAAAGCAAAGTTTTACAAGCCAACCAGGTCCTAGACTCAATGGGCAGGAAGTGGGGAAGGGAACCCCTTCCACTAATGGGGCTGCAAGAGCTGTCTCCTCGACCTAAGAGCAAGCACTGCACCATCTTCTAGTTCTTGTTTGCTTATCCACTCAGAGGCTGGCCTTGACCTCTATGGAGGTACCTGAATTTCCCGTTGTCCTTGTTCTGGGCAGCCTCCATGACTTTGATAAAAACTGAGCCACTTGGAACAGAGAGTTTGATGGAATCGGAGAAGGAACTGTTCACACCATCAACAACGGTGTATGTGACATCTATTGGACTGTGATGAATAGGTGACTGAGTAGCGCTCAGGATGGGGTTCTCTGCTTGGAAATTAGAGATTAAAGAGGCAGTTAGTAATGGATGAGTCTCTCTCTTTGTGGTCTCTGTGAATTTCATATACATTCTGTCATATGTCCACACAATTTCCACATCAGTGTGTAAGGTTATTTTTAGTGCAGCAAAAGTTCAATTTTTATATGTAATTTTCTACAATAAATGCATGGCTACATATGATTTTCCCTAAGATGCATCCTTGCATTCAAGTTTCCTGAAGAAATTCAATTTTGTACACAATTTACAAGCTAAGAACTATGCTGCAAGGTCTGGAGAAGTGCCCAGCCCCAAGGACAGGTGTGTTCCAAGCTGTGTACCAGCCCGGGAAATGCACATCTGGTTGGTTCACTTAAAAATGCAGACCCAACAAAGTTCTCTCTCAGTCCTAGAAGCAGTCAGGAATGGTGAAATGGCTTCAAGATGGCAGCTTTTTCCCCTCCATACATCCCCTTTCTCCATATATATTATACTGAGTTACCGCAGGGAGGTGGAGGAACTAAGGTGAGGAAGGGAAGGAGTGTCGGGGTAAAGCAGAAGCCTAGCTTATGAGTGGAGGGGAGTTTAACTTCAGGGCCACAGGCCAGATCTGGTCTGCTTAGGCTTACCTAAGTAAGAGCTTTCAGCTTAAATTTACTGATCTTTTTTCCCTGCCCCTTCTGCTTTTAACTCCACAACCAGTGCAATGCACTCGCTCAAGCGCTTCTCTGAAATCAGACTTGGTACTAACATTGAAAGACGTGTGACAATCTTAAAAGCATTCTGCATTCTTAAACATGTATATTATCATTTGACTATGGCATGTTACTTTAGTGTGCAAACTTTATTGTGACCTCAGTGTGTAAACCACGTGAATCATCACAGATCAAATGCAAACATTCCACACTTTCTAACAACCCCACTGGCACAAGAATGCTGCTTTTCAGCACAACCTGCTAAGCCACCTGGAACACCAGCTGCCTTTCCAGACTGGGCCACCCAAAATAAAAAGCTTTAAGAAAGAGAACCCACCCCAGTTTCCAGGATGCCGTACACGTACAGAGGGTTGCTCTGCCCATGAGGCACATTCGGAGCAGCCATGTGGCCCTTGTGCCAGTCTAGTGAGTTTTGGAACTTCTTCCTACTGTGGCTTTATATAATCAGTCGAGAGCCAGAAAATGATGAATAAGCCAGCTATGAGGGGGCAAATCTATTCCTGGGCAAAGCTGATAAAGCAGAACTTCTTGACAAGCCTTCTGGATTCACACATGGAGTGATTGCCCCAAAGAGGCCAAATCTTGGCGTCAGATTGGAGGGTACGACTCTTTTGGGGGTTCACTCATAGTCAAGAGATGTCTTCTGTACTTCTGTTTCTTCCTCTGCCAGGAGCAAGAGATGTGCAGTAGGACCCTGTCTGTATTTATGTGGAAATAAGTAGCACTTGGCTCAGTGCCCTTGGCTGAGAATAAGAGACAGCTCTTTCCCTCCCAGGGCCACAGGAAACATGTCTTTAATTATGAGAACTCTCTCCCCTGTCCAACAGAGGCTGTAGCTATGGGAATCCGGGGGCCATCTCTGTGGTATATACCTATGCATATACCAATTTTGGCATCCCGATTTGGGTTTGGAAATGAATGATCTGCAATGGAGATTGATTTGACTCTGGATTTGACTCTCCTTGTTTCAAGCTAGAGGTGTGATTAACCTGGGATTTCCTATAATATATGCATAGTTACATATAATTTTCCTCAAGATGCATCCTTGCATTCAAATTCCCTGAAGAAATGAAATTTTGTAGACAAATTCTGAGCTAAGAACCATATGCAAGATCTGGAGAAGTGCCCGGCCCCAAGGACAGGCATGTTCCAAGCTGTGTACCAGCCTGGGAAATGCACATTTGGTTGGTTCACGTAATGCAGACCAACCAAAGTTCTCTTTCAGTCCTAGAAGCAGTGAGGAATGGTGAAATTTTTTCAAGATAGTAGCTCTGCCGAGAGCAAGCCAGTGCTCTGAGCTCACAAGAGAGGTGCAGTAGGAGCATGTGCATGTTTGTGTGGAAATAAACAGCACTTGGCGCAGTGTCCTTGGCTGAGAATAAGGGACAGCTCTTTCCCTCCCGGGGCCACAGGGAACATGTCTTTAATTATGAGAACTCTCTCCCCTGCCCAACAGAGGCTGTAGCCATGGGAATCTGGAGGCCATCTCTGCATCTACTGATTTGGGCATTCCAATTTGGGTTTGGAAATGAATGATCTGTGATGGTTTTTCTCTAGGTTTGGCTCTCCTTATTTCAAGCTAGAGGTGTGTCTAACCTGCTGTGCTTACCTTCGCCCTTGGAGCAATACATTCTCTTCACATCAAGGTAGGTCCTACCCTCCAGAGAAGGGACGATCTGAGCAGCAGCCATGGGGTTGTCAAAAGAGCCTTTCTCAACCTCACTAAGGACTGTGTCCAAAGTCTGGGAGCAGTTCCAGGATGCCGATGTTGAATAGTTTCGAGATACAGTCAAAGCCTGGAAGAAGCAGAGTGGAGAGACTGCAAATGGGGAGAATGAAGTAAGGGAGTACACAGATTGGCTATAGACCATCAATGCGGACAATATAAACAATAAAGAAAACAGGAATTTGCTTGCAGGAGAGCAAAAGGAGTGGGATGAGGGAGAACTAAATCAGGACCATAGACAGAAGAGGGATATCTCGCCTAGTGGTTTGCTACACAAGGATGTTAATCCTCTGTACCTACTTTGTCTTTCATTGAGGAACTGAGAGCTGAATGCTATGTGGGAAGTGTTTGCCTTCCGGCTTCTCTGCTATTTAACCTCTAGGTGGCAGTGTGATATAGCAGGATAGCACAATTACATCAGTGGAAAAATGTTTTCTTTCTCTCTGATGAATACTATCATGCTTTTCCTGCTCTTGAAAAACTCCCCAAAAATGCTCTTTAAAACCAGAAGCAAAACTGGAGCTTCACATCTTTGTGTAAAGAACTTGGAAACCATCATGAGTAGGGAATTATGAACTCAAAATGAATGATTCAGAGAAAAAAGTTTATTCCAGGTGTTCACATATTATGACCTCAGCTCAAAAGCATATGTATATCCCATCTAGCATATGTAGCTTCTTCTGTCTGGCAGGTCACTCTCTATCTAACTTTAAAGCTGCCCTTCTCCGCATCCAGCTCAGCACCATAACTTTGGCAGGGGTCACTATAAACAAACCAACCAACCAACCAACAAAAAAACGCTAGGGCTTGGGTAACTGCGCGAGGCCTAATCCTGATTGTACACATGGCACTTTTGTACATTACTGAAGTCTGCGTCCTCCCTCCAGCCAATTGCGAACAGCCCCCAGGGCTGCAAGCCAAGGGGTAACGGAACAGCTGTTATGTGTGCACTCTAGACAACTAGAGCAGAATGAACCGGAATGAAGTATCTGTCAACAATACAGAGGAAGCCCTAAAGCTTCTCACATGGGGGTGGGTCTGTGTAAGTGGGGTAGGTGGAGTAATGGCTCCGAATTTACTTCAAGCAACAATTGTGAAGACCCAAAATGCCTTCTGTCCTCTTCTCTCCCAGAAGGTCGGAATGGTGCTTTTATTAGTTAAGAGACCCTGTTACCCTCCCAGAGCATGAAGGCATGCTTGGTGGCACAGGCCCTTTGTATGAATGCATGGGAAACGTGCTGGTGGTTTGATGCAGCGATTAAACAAGAAGGTCCCTGCAGCCTCCCTGGCCTTCTCCAGATCCCCGACTGATCCTTGCTCCCACCTGCATGGCCAGCCCAGTGCTATAAATGTTCCCAATGATTCCATCAACTCTCTTCTCCTCCAGGATTTTCTTCAGCAGCCATTCTACAGTACTTGCTATTGTCTGGTTATCCTCTGGGGACAGTTCGGCTTTATCCACAGTCTGCACACAGACCAGAGCCAGCGTGGCCACTGCTGCTGTGTCTATGTGGGGAAGAAGACGGTAAATGTGGGTTAAATTCTTATCTTCATCCGATGTAGCACATATCCCACAAAATAAGGGGAGTGGCAGAAGTGAAGATCAATCTATTTCCAGTTGCGGAGCAATTTGGTGTGTATTAAATCCATTTCTTCCCAATTTCTGCCATTTTCTTTTTTTAACATCTGGCATCAACATAAAACAGCCATGAGTTGTATTTGGGGTAATTTTGCTACTGCACACAATAGTAGCTCAGTCAAGAAAAATGCTGCATATGGAGGGCTTTTGTACTGGCTGAATGTTTCCACCAGGATGTGTTACTCAGAACAAGAATGGCTGATATGATCCATTTCAGATGTTTTGTATTTTTAGGATATGAATAACAGTTAAATCAGGGTAACAACGCTTGGCCTATTGATGTTTGTTCTGGATACTAGCAATCTGGTCTGCAAAAGTTAAACTTGAATAAAAAAGTTTTCCCTGAATGGATTTTAATTCTGTTTGCTGAAAGTTTTAGTGCAAAGTGATGGATTCCAATAGAGACTGACATACCTGTACTTAACTTTATTTTGTGCCTTTGTTTGGGGTGACAAAAGTGCCCCATGCAACTATTCCTAAGGGGATTTTTGGAGGCCTCCCTCCACTCAGCCCAAGCATGGTTTGGTTTATGTTGGAACCTGTAAAATGGAGGAAGCTGAAATCTGAGGATTATAGACAGGCCAGTTTTTGAGAAAATCCCAGAAGGACAAGTCCATAGGACTACTTCTGTGTAAATTACACCACACAATGCAAGTTTGGGGGTGCCAGTTGTCGCATGATCCTGGATGAGTTGAAAATGCGTGGAAACATGCCATTAAACTGCATACATTTCAAAACAAAAAACCCAAGCCAGATTTTCTATGTTCATTCAAATAAACCAGATTTTCTATGTTCACTAAAATAAACACATCTACATAGTGTGTGGGTGTGTGGGTGTGCGCGCACACGCACATACATGAATGCACCCTCAGAACTGCAGCACAAAATTTAAAGAATAGTGCAGTCCGAAGGAGAAAAGTCCACACCAGTACACAAATTAAGCCAGAAAGTGTGAATCAGAGCACCAGACTTAAAGCTGTGAACCATATGGGGTTCCCTCTCTAAGAATGGGAGTCGTAAATGCACCCATCACTGGGAGATTCACTTCACAAATGCTGTCTTATTCCGCTGGTTTATCCTGCTTGATTTCATTGCACGATACTACGGTTGCTAAGCTTCCATATATTTCGCTTTTTGATATAAGTCACCTTGAATTGATTGGAGAGGTGAGATGCACATTTATATAATAAACAAGAATACTGGAGGGGCCATCCTAGCACATGCACAAACAGTGTGCTGGCCTAGAGGCAGACAGAAAGTAGAACTCCAGTGGTCCTAGGTTTCCACTCCCAGAATTCCCAGCATGCTCAATACCGAGAATTCTGGGAGACGCAGACCAGAACACCAGAAGTTCTACCTCCTGCTCACCGCTGTTCTGGCCTTTCCCTGGCCCTCATCGCATGGCAAACCACTGACTCACGTGCACATGAAGTTGAAACCCCCATTCTGGGACAAAAGAGTGATCTGTCAAGTTCTGCATTTTACCAACAGGAGCCAAACAGATGTTTGGGGCAGGATTGCAAGGAGCGCATCAGGACAATATCCCCTCCTCCTTGTAAATATTAGGTATCCAGGTATCAGAAATGTATTGAGGAAAAAAATGAAGCTGCACTGCCTATATGAGCATCTGCCAAAAGATCAATGGACAGATTGATTGATTGATTGACTGATGTATTTATCTATTGCATTTTTATTCTGCCCAACAGCTGAAGCTCTTGTACCTACCCACATTGAACTGGCCACCTAAGGAGTAGATCTTCTCATCTCGGGTGAGCAACTTTGCTACTTCGGCAGCTGAGAAGTCACCGTGAAGCTGGCAGAGGGTTAGAATACACAGACTGAGCTGGTAATAGGTGGTCAGAGGATACTTGTTCTTATCTGAAGAGAAACAAATAGAGTTTTTAAAAGTATTTCCAACCCACACTTAATCCTACAATATCAGGCTGGTGTTGCAGAGCCATAAAAAAGGCGCAGTATAGTACACCATAATAGACAGATCAGAAGCATAAACACAGCAGGGAAGTGAAGCCTAAGCCAGCAAAAGGCTTGTAAAACCTGAACACAGAAAAGGTTGCAGCACCATTTAAGCTCCAGTGGGAATCTGGGCATCCCGGAAGTGGGGTGCCACCACGAAGAAGGCGGTCCCTTTCCTTCCTTGACAACCAGCTTTCCCTGCCAAAGGAACTCCTCCAAAGATCTAACAACAGATAGAGATTTAAAGCACCCAGAAAAGCAAAATGGGGTTGAAGGGGGAGGAGGAAGAGCTCTGTCCACTGATGTGGTGGAAGCCCCAGTGCTCACCGATGTTCTCCACCTCCTTCTTATACTTCTTCTCCAACAAGTTCACCAGATCAAGATTTGCAGAGACTTTTCGGGGATCAGAGCAGGAAGCCCGGAAGGCCAGAGCGTACAAGGCCACCAGGCCAGAAGAGAAATCTCGCCCTGGAAAGAGTGGACAAATATCAGCATGAGCGGGGCACAGGTCGGTTTCTCCAGCTCCTGCCCACAGGGTGCCATTTCCATCCTTCTGTGCTCTCACGCTTTCAGCTGCCTCACACATGTATTCTACTTCTCTCCCTGGGAGCATTCACATATTCAGCTCTGCCAGCCACTCCGGTCTTGTCCAGACAGGCAGCTATGCAGACACACGCAAGGGCCAGGTTCGCACAACATGATGAGCCAGCGTGGCCAGCGGGCTGTGTTTGTTTCAGGGTGGCTGGACTGAACCCAGCCAGCGGGCCTTGTGTGTGGCTCACAAGCCGGGTTGCTTGGACAGAGTCCACAAAGCACCATGTCTCTCCATCTTGTGTGATCCCAGTCAAGAAGTGGACCGTGTCCTCATTGAAGGCAAGGGTTATCGGGTGCACTGATCCCCCCGCCCCGCCCCGAATCGAGTACCACTCTTGGTGATTGAGAGGGAGACAGAAAGAGACGGGAGGTTGCTTCAAGTTCCTCTTTGCAGAAGATTGGGAGCAAGGGGACTGCCTGAAGCAGGCTAGATTCACTGCGGGATCATGGGCTGCCCACGCTCAATGAGCACAATCACAGGTAAAGCAAAACTTTCCCCAGAGATAATCCTGTGTCAGTCTATGATGCATTAGAAACTGCACGTACCAGGAAAAGCAGGGGTAGGTACTGGTGTGTTTGCTCTGAAAGACCAATTTTTCAGGCGTGCCATGTGCACTCACCGTTTTTCACTCTGTCTATGGCATCCTGGCGAAGCTTGCGTAGCAACGTTTGCTCAGCACTCTGGTTGTGGTTCCGACTAAGCCGCAGAGCCAACAGGACACTGGGGTTCGGAAGCGCTCCGGGAGCGGTGGCTGCCTGGATCATCTCGTGCAGCAGACGGTCCACCTGGGAGCGCTGATCCCTGCTCACAGCTGAGGGGAAACAAGCACTAATGGCACCGGGCACACCCTCAAATCCCTTGCCTTGAATTTCCACCCCACAATTCTCAGCCCCGTCTGCAAAGAGAAGGTGCCCCGCTGCCATGCTCGAAGAGGTTCGGGCCTCTTTGGGCTCCTCTGTCTGAGGCGGTGTTAATCCACTGGATCAGCTTTCAGGTTTGTTGCAGAATTTGTACTGTTGAGCACTACCCTAAGTGTGTCTGCTTCTCTGCTCCATGACTTCTAGAAGGCACTGCAGTGTGGTGGAATAGCGCACTTACATCAGAGGGGAAAGTGCTTCATTTTCACAAGTGATACTCATTTTTCTTGCTGGGATATGTGTGTGTGTGTGTCCATGCATGCGTATCTTGCCAAAAGTGCTCTGAAAACACAGAAGAGGGTCATACCTTCAACTAAAGGGCCCAGAAACAACCATGAGTAAAGAATTATTATGATGACTGTATTGAATGTATAGCCCCTTTCTTTCTCTTGCAAGGAGCCTAAGGTGGCTTACAAGATTCCCCTTCTCTCCAATTTATTCTGGCAAGAACAACCCTGTGAGGTAGACTATGCTGAGAGTCCATGACTGGCCCAAAGTCACCCAGTGAGCTTCATAGCTGAGTAAGGACTAGCATCCCAGTCTCCCAGTTCCCAGCCCAACACTCTAACCACTACACCAAGCTGGCAAATACAGTATAGATGCCTCACATGAATTAGATCTTCATTGTATTATTTGCCAACATGTGGAAGGAAAGTGGCAGGCTGAAACCCTGATGTAGCAGTCTTAGTCCATGACCCCCAGTGACCAGATCGCCCCCAAAATTATGTTAGGTATTCTAATATTTGGATTCAGTATTCCTAAGCATTTGCTGTGATTTTTAAATCAAATCCATTGACTTCTCCGTACACTCTGGGTTCATCCAAATGAGGCTTATATGGCACCAAGGCCCTGCTTCATTCAGGCACTTCTGCAACAGGTGTAAATGACACTGTCTTCCACTCATAAACATCCTGTGTTTTCTTGCCATTTCTGTGTGTGTGTGTGTGTGTGTGTGTGTGTGTGTGTGTGTGGTTTTCCCAGTTGCAATGTATGGCTATGAAAGATGGACCATAAGGAAGGCTGAGCGCCGAAGAATTGAGGCCTTTGAATTGTGGTGCTGCAGGAGACTCCTGTGAGTCCCTTGGACCACAAGGCGATCAAACCGGTTAGTCCTAGAGGAGATCAACCCTGACTGCTCTTTAGAAGGTCAAATCCTGAAGATGAAACTCAAATACTTTGGCCACCTAATGAGAAGGAAGGAATCCCTGGAGAAGAGCCTAATACTGGGAACAATAAATGGCAAAAGAAGAAGGGGATGGCAGAGGATGAGGTGGCTAATGGAGTCACTGAAGCAGTTGGTGTGAGCTTAGGTGGACTCCAGGGGATGGTGGAGGACAGGAAGGCCTGGAGCAATGTTGTCCATGGGGTCGCAATGGGTCGGACATGACTTCGCGACTAACAACAAAAAGGAAAAGGAAAATCCATTTGGGGAAAAAAGAATATTTGTATAATTCCTTCCAATTAGAGCAGGGGTCTCAAACTCAACTTACCTGGGGGCCGCTGGAAGTAGAGGCTGGGTGAGACTGGGCCACATCAAGTATTCCACCACCGCGGTGGGGGTGGGCCCCTCCCCTGTGCCCCGCCTGTCCCAGCAATTGGCCCACGGGCCGCGAGTTTGCGACCCCTGAATTAGAAGGAAATTTTGTGAGACATAAGAACCCAGTTTTCTCCAAATCAGCCCAAGCAGTATTCCCCATCAGAACTAAAAACTTGGTGCGCACAATGGAAAAAATAGAACAGTCAATAAATTAGAAGGAAAATCCTCAGCTTCCTCATTGCTGCATGAGATTAATGTAGAATTAGAAGACATGTTATTAAAACATGCTTCTAGAACAGCTCTTTTTGACTGTTGCCTCTAGCTCCAGTTAGAATATGTAGGCAAGCAGAGCTGGTGATGAGCTTAAGCTAGTTCTCATGTTCAAATTCAGCCTGCAACCTTGGAGACCAGGGAGCCATCTTTTTATGTGCATTAGCAGAATGCAGATCTGCATTCACACAATACATTTCTATCCCACCCAATAGCCAAAGCTCCCTGGGCAGCTTACACAGAGAAAAACTTTAACAATGCATTATGCATAGTATAAAAACCATTTATATACAAGCTTTTAAACAAACAGTGCACACAGACACACATCTATCTAAACATTTTTAAGGGATCAGCAATTTTAAAAATCTAGGATCTGCTTAAAACCTCATTACATTGTACCAAATCTCTGAGAAAGGTCATGACAATGGAGACATTAGGGCCCAGGGAAGTGAAGTTGATACAATAATACTGAATAATCCAGAAGGAATGTTCTATTGCCCAAGCAGGAAGCACAGGTGTCTTTGCTGACCTGCAGAACAGGTCATCAGTATTTTTTAATTTCCTACTTCCTTGCAAAATAGTAGCCGCCAGGATTGTCAGCTGGCCTGAAAAACCTAACCTGGTTTGCCCTGTACCGAAAGAGCAGTTTGTAGTGCTATCAGCACACAGAGAACCCATGGCATAAGCACCCATAGCTGCTAAGGTCTCCAGGTTGTCAACCTGCAAGCGCAGGAGCAGGGAACAGCAAGCATAAATGATGGCAGCTCTGGAAGCAGAACCAGGAAGAGAGCTTGCTTTTCTTCTTTCTGACCAAGACGTTGCCATACAGGGCACTGTCAGTCCGCCTCATCTATTCTGAGATGGGGGCTTACTCATAAAGCAAGCTATGGATTGGACTCTGGTGAGGAGATGTCTGACCCTAACCAGCTGCTGCTGCTTCAGTTTTAAAGGATTTTACTCATCTCTTTAATAGCAGCTTTCCTGGAAACCTCAGAACCACAGCTGGCTCTGCCAGGGCATCTTCTGAAAACACAAATGCCACTGAGCTTGCCCTTGAGAAACTGCATGCAGTCAGGACCTCATCAGTATCAAGAACAACATGTCAATGATCACCGAAGGATGCAGGAATGAAGTTGTGCAAGATCGCAACATAGGAAGCAGGGGCATCAGCTGGCTGTGGGCAAAACAGAAAAGCCAGGCAAGGGTGGGGCGGGAGGGGGGGAGCTAGGCAAGCCTTGCTCCAGATGTGGGGCTTCTTCCCTCGGGCCCAGGAGGATCAGGGAGCTGCTGAGAGAGCCCCCACTGCTGCCACCAACACCTCTGGCCTCTTGTCAGGCACTCCAGTGATCGCGTGGGGGCTGCCATTGCAATCCACTGCCTCAGGAAGATCTTTGCATCCAGGAGTCATGCTGGGGCTCCCTGGCATCCTCGTGCTGGCTGGGAGTGAGAGGGCTTGCATCCCACACTTGCGGAGGACGGCACCAGGTGTGCCGGGGGGATGCCAGGCTTCTGCTACTCACCACAGGGAAGGCAGCACTGAACCTGCAAGAGAAGCAGGAACCCGAATCCCACCAGAGACCTCATCATGGCTCCACTGCAGAACTTGCCCCAGGATGTTACTTCGATGCAACACTTGGCTGGGCTGCTCTTGAGATATGAGCAGCAGGACCAAGTATGCAGAAGTGGCAGAGAGGCTGGGACTCCACCCTTGACATGTGGCTTCCTGGTAGCAAAGAAAGAGCAATTGAGCAATACCAAGTAGCGCATGTATGCATCCTTCTCTGCCCTGGAGGAGAGGACCAATCGATGCAACAGGGATCGTGAGGTCTGCCATCAGAAGATGGGTTCTCAGAACTACTGAAAGATTTCTGCCAGCCACACACTGGAGCGCGTCTGTGTGGTTCTTCAGTCAAGACAGGCTTCCTCAACTCCCATCATCTCCCATCCAGTTATGCCAAAAGATGCCAGCTTGGGGAATCAGCCCTCTGCAATCCCTGTTACTGATGAAGGGCCATCTCCTACTGAAAGCACCAAGATCCTAAGGTCTCTAACTGGGAACCTGAATCCCACCAGAAACCTCATCGTGGCTCCACTGCAGCACTTGCCCCGGGATGTTACTCAGACGCAACGCTTGGCTGTGCTGCTCTTGGGATGTGAGCAGCACAGCCAAGCATGCAGAAGAGAGAGCGAGCGAGCCTGGGACTCCACCCTTGTCATGTAGCAAACTCCTACTACATGCACTCAAATCCTGAGTGCTTTTATGGGGTTTAAGTGCCACCAAGAGCCCCAAAGTGGAGCACAGGAGATGCATGCTGTGTCTGCTCTTTCCATTTGACTTCAGGGCAGCCACATTGCTCTTAAGTGCCATCGTCCCCACCCTGTGAACAAAAGCCTCCAAAATATCCTATCCACGACAGCCCTGCTCAGCTCTTGTAAATTCAAGGCTGTGGCTTCCCTGATGGAGTCAATCCCTCTTATTTGGTCTCCTTTTTCTTCACTTTTCCTTGACTTTTCCTAGCAGTATAGCCAGTGCTTTTTTTGTAAGAAAAAAGTGCCGGAACTCATGAAATTATTTACCTTTCGCACGTAGTCAATCACTGTACACACACCCACACACGTCAGTTGTGTAACGAAACATAACGGTCATCGCCCTCAGTAAGCACTCAGCACATGACCACACAACCAGTCACAAGCCACACAGTGCCACAAGCCAAGCAGCGCCATCACAACCAGCGTGGACAAAGTACGCATGCATCGGACTTGACACACAAGCAGCCTGCATGCACCGTTTTAATGATTTTGCCGCCAACCTGCTACGCTCGACAAGGCGATTCAAATCCACGTGGACCAAACATCAAATTTTCAAAAGTTACTTTTAAAACTTGGAAAATCTGTCGAAAAAAGGTGCCAGAACTCTGTTCCGGTCCGTTCTATGACAAAAAAAGCACTGAGTATAGACATGAGGAGCTGGAAATCTGGTCAAGGAAGAAGGGCACTTTAACCTTTTCCTAATGCCAGAGGCTTCCTCAAAACTAGCCCACCCAGCAAGGGTGCTTCCAGATGTAGCTTTTCTCATGGCATCATCCTGGCTCAACCACAGACTGTTACCAGATGCAGCATGGGGGGGCGGGGGGGAATTCCACATGATGATGTTTATTCTCTGTTTCTACTTTCTGTTTCATTGCAGAATTAAGACTGGAGTGCTACATGAATTATGTTGCTTTCCTGCCTTTCCATCATTTCCTCTACGCAACCTCTTGATGACACAATGCTCTATGAGAATAATTTAACTACACTAGAGAGTCCAGTGCTTTCTTTCAGTCTCACAAATGATACTGCATTTTTCCCATTCCAAAACCCATAATAAAATTTCTCCTTTTTTTAAAGTAACAAAATAGAGCTGTAGAATCACCATCAGAAGCAGTCATAAACAACTGTGAGTCAGAAATGATAAGCACTGAATAACAGTTTTCTCTGAAAAGGCTCTCTCCTAGAAACCTTCCCTGCTGCTACTTCCATCTTTTTTTTTTTTTTTACAACTGCACAAAATTTAAGGAAGAAAAGATGAATAGCTGCAGAATGCTTTCTAACCAATAGAACTAGGAGCCCTTTGTTTGGAAACTTTTTCATGTACGGCACAGTGGAAGCTGCGTCTCATATCCCCTTGTCCAGCATAGGACTGCCCAGTTGAAGGACATTTAATGCAATTCTACAACTGGTTTGGAAAGACGGAATGCAGTGTTTGTCTTCCTCCCTCGGCTATGCTATTCAGCACCCAATTCAAGCTCAGTTCTACTCAGAAGTAAGCCCTGAGCTCCACTGGGAACTGTTACAAGTTACATTTTGAACTGTTATATTTTGCTGTGGCTGCAATGTGCAGCCATTGCACATAGCAAGGGTACAACTTTAAACGAGCCTTCCAAGCCAGACCAGCTGTCCCCAGGAGCACCTGTGTCTGCCAGAGAGCCTTTGAGTGCTGCGGTGAATCCTAGCTTGGCTGGCACCCCTCTTTTATAGCCAGTTTCTCAACGTGGGAGTACAGCCAATCAAGGCTGAAATGCTACCCATACTTTCCTGGGAGTAAGTTCCACTGAACAGCATGGGACCAGCTTCTGGGTAAAATTATGCAGGCACAGCCCATCACTTGGTCCAACACAGGAGAATGTGCTCATCCCTAGAGACCACGATGTTGTGTATACCTAGCTGGAAATAGGTCCTAATGACATCAGTGTAATTTAGGCTTGGGTTCATTTGGGTCTTTAATTGCTCTGATGTTTTTAATTCTTTGTAAACCATCTTGAGATTGTCCTGAAATATATATGCGGGTATAGAAAACCATTAAATAAATAATAAATAAAATAGGCTTTAGTAAATGTTAGCATTAATATACTGGACTTTGAAGAAGAGAATCATCATTACTTCTACCTATTTATTTATTTATTTGTCAGCTACTCTTCATCCATAAGTGAATCCCAGACTGGTGTGTATAACATTGTAAAAACACATTGTAATAATACACTTTCAAAATAAAAGACAAAAGCTATTCAGCCAGCAAGGAAACAAACTTATCTTGTTTGTTTGTTTAAAACTTTTGTATACCATCCAACTACCACAGTGTCAGGACGGTCTTAAATCAAATGAGATTTTTTTTGTAACCCCTGGGCAAAAAAGAAGCACTGATTTCAGGCCTAATGAAACAAAGGTCAGCATCAATTGCACATCACTAGGCAGAGAGCTTGGGAAGCAGGGCAACAGCTCAGAGAAGATTCTGTCTTGTGCAGGGGTTTAGGAATAAAAGGCAAGGGAGAGGGTTCATTATTTTAGTTTCATTGTATTTCATTATAAAGTGAACTGAAGCTCTTGAAGATGAAACCATGCCAGTGTTGGGAAATTTCAGATAAATCCTGGTAGAAAAATGTTGCTTATTTGTGGTATAAAATCAAATCTACACCTCTTTCTCACAAAGCAGCAGAATTCCTATCCAGGTTGCTATTTAGCATTGCTGTTGCCTTGAGAAGATGGCATTATCAGCTAGACTGAGAAGCTGCAGAAGGCTAATACTATCAGGGAGGAAATACCTGCATTCTCATCAGCAGCAGAAAAACTGAAAGAATGGTGTCCATTTGTTTCTGAACGGACCCACCCAAGCATCTAGTCCCAAGAGGCAAGCCCCCTGCTGAGTGTGGTGTCAAACCAGATTTCCTGAACAGTTCCTCCATCAGACACTTTTGCAGGTTTAAACAGACAGACCCACTGACCTGAACTGTCAGGAATTTGCTAGACTGACCTATCAATACAGCAATCAGTAATGTTTTCCACACCAGTATTTCCGATCCATATAGAACATTATGTCATGCCTAAAGACATCAAGATGCTATTGTACCAACATTATCTGGAAACTTTACACTCTACATTGGTGTACGTGACTAGCAGGTTGTAAAAGTGTCTGTGCATGGGCTGTGATTTTCTAGTTGGTGGTGGAGCCCACCATCCAGTAGCATGCTGTGAGTAACTGCGGGGGTCCTGGGTGATCTTCCAATAAAAATGCTGCGGTTCAAGGCAAAAGGGTCTTTCCTAACTGAACCTGGTTATATTTGTTGCAGCTGCCATGGAGGCTTTCCTAACACCAGTAAGGAAATACAACCCAAATGTGATATTTGATTCATATAAAATAGTACATCTTGTGCACTCAGGAACAAAAAGAAATTGACATGAAACATTTAAAAAGGAAGGGAATGTCAGAAGAGACCCCTTTCTCTTACTGATGAAACATTTGCCTTTTCAACCACTGTTCAAGATTAGGGGTGTGGTCTTATAAACACTTACCTGGAAGTAAATCTGTTGAAACCTTTGGGGCTTACTACTGAGTAATCATATATAGGTGCTGTTACTTGAGAGTCAGCATCAAGGTACACAGCCTTACTTTTCAAGAAACATGCCTTGCATTGCATTGTAATAGTGGAGCAGCTAAATATGCATGCATAAATTCCCCACCATTTGATGTCAGAGCCCAAGGATGGGAAATTGCAACATATCACATACAGAAATGACTAGCTGAAGGTACTGTGGTCTACTTTCAGATACAGTTTATGCAGGATGGGAGAGAGTTAATAGAGGGAAAATGGCTGCCTTGTTTGGAACAAAGGGAAGCCTATGAATGATGTGGTTTCATTGGAGGACACAGAGGCACCTGAGCACTGTGTGGGCTATAAATGGAGCCAAGAAGGGTGTTGAGTGCTTGGTTCCCACTTGACTGAATCCTTGAGCAATATCTGTGAGTGATGGAGAAGCACCTAAAGATATGGGCTTTACTCCTTTTAGCTACTGGTGCTTATGCTCAAAATACCTCAGGTAAATGAATGCGAAGTGAAGGCAGTGGGGATGTGCCAGTGTGACGTTGTTCACTGGTAGTGGGGGTTTGGTTTGGTTTTTGTATGCTAGTCCCATAAAGGGGTTGGCTAATGTATGTTGAATCTTAATATTTTTGCTACATATTTCCCATTCTTGAAAGAAAGCCTTCTCTGTTACAAAACCAATCAAACCACAACAGTGTTACAAAACCTGTCTGAAGTAGTGATCTAATGACATTTTTAAATATGAAACTGCTTTTGCCTTGTACTGACTAATGAAATGAGAAGTGGGGCTCCTTTCTGTAACAGAGAACCAGTTGAGTGTGGTGGTTAAGAGTACTGGACTGGGATGCAGAAGGCATGGGTTCAAGTCTCCCCTTTGGCTATAAAGTACTGGATGAGTTTGGGCCAATCACTGTTGCTCAGCCTGGCCTACCTTACATGGCTGTTGTGAGGATACAATGGAGAGAGAACCTTGTAAACTGCCCTGGGTTCTTTGCAAGAAGAGGAAAGACAGGATGAAAATGCAGTTTAATGATGACAACACATAAAAACTTGTAGGGAATTGCATTCACCCTTCAGGCAGAATGTTAAGACTAACAAAAACATTGGTTCCCATCTTCCTCAACAAATGTGATCAACTGAGCATGAATGGGAGTTGTAGTCCCATTCAGCATACCTGGAGGGCAACAGGTTGAGGAAAGCAGGATTCAACTGGATTTTGAGCTCCAGAGAGACTGAGGCAGTGCTGCAGTAATGATGATTCCTTTCTAGGTCTTCAGAAATGTAACTACAACAGTTATTTGCCTCTGACTTCAGTATGATGTGGAATCCATGGATTCCTTGGGAAATGAAGCTAAAGAAACTTAACACTTTAAATTGACAAGGATGGTGAGTAGGTTTAGGTACATTAAGTAGGCAGAAGATAAGTTGGGCAGTAGTACTACCTGCTGACTGGAGAACATGTAAGTCTCCAGCATTCAATCCTATCTTCAGGTATGATTTAGTTATTGTTTACGTGAGGGAAAAAAATCTTGTGTGTGACTAAACTGAGCATTTTTCAGAACATAAATAAGTTGCAGATGGCTGTAACAAAGTACTGGCCACAAAGAGCTATTCTGTGGCATGAGGGCAGGGCTGGGCAGCTTGTAGCCTTCCAGATACTTTGGTCTACTATTCCCGCCAGCCTTAATCCATGGCGGTTTGATAAGTACTGTTTGTATCCACTGCACTTCTGTTCCACACTTCAGACAAACAAGAGTTCCCAGGGTGGCTTTCAAGGAAAAAAAGCCAAGATAATTCAGCCCACAAAAGAAAAGGGAACTGGGAGAGAGAGAAGGGAAAGCTTTGTGCAAAGTTTGGCAGGGCATAAGCTCAATCGAAAATGCATTGGAAGGGCTGCTGATGGGTGGGCAAAGCAACCAGAGGGCTACAAACGGCCTGTCCCTGCTTTAGGGAGGCAGTCCCAATGAAGATACTGCCTTGTCCTAGCATCTGAATTTCCCATTTTCATGATGGTCATAACACAAGTCCTACAAAGCTGCCGTCCTGCTACACTTATCAGAGAGTAAACGTTATTAACTTCAGTGGAACTCACTTTTGAGTAGACATGCAGAGGGTTATATCTGTTAAATATGGACCATTGTCTTCTGTATATTTGGCTTTTTAATATTGTGTGGCTATCTTTTTTTTGTTTTACAAAGAAAAGGTATAACAGCTCCCTACTACAAAGGGCTTATAGTTCAAAACATACATGGAAACAGAGGAAGGGGCAAAGGCAGGCATGGATAAATGGAGTAGGCCATGTAATGACTTCAACTACATGTGCTTTGACCCACTTAACAATAAGGTATAGTAACTTGGGGGCATGCAACTCCAGAAACTATAGCCTACGGCTCCCATCTGCCCCAGGCAACATAGTGCAGAGGGATAATGGAAGTTGCAGGCCCAAAATCTAGAGGGCCAGAAGTTGCTTATCCCTGGAGCTTCTGCCACAGGCAAACAAACTTGTTTCAAGGAAACACCGTGGGGCAAGAGGCAACTGAGGGGTGTAGTGGAGCATAAGAAAAAAATGATGCAGCTGTTGAAATGCTCCCATATGCACCATACTAAGAAATAACAGGCATCCTCTGAGAGAATACTCTCTCCTCTTGGGATACTGAGAGGTATCTACATGATCATTGCTGTTATTCCTTGTCTGCTGGTGGAACTCAGACCAGGCACTGCAATTGTGCCTATGAATACTGATTGATGGGGAACAGCAGGGAAAAGGGCTGCCGCATCATGTCCTCCTTGTGGGCTTCCCATAGGCATCTGGTTGGAGGATGGATCCTGGATTAGAGGGGCTATTGGCCTAATCCAGTAGGGCTGCTCTTCATTGGCGCTTCTTCACAGCAGCCTCTTGGCTCTACGTGTGAGATTTCACTGCACACCCTCAAACAAAGGCACAGGGTGGTGGCAACGCTCACATCTCACTACTGCCCAATCCATTCTTGTATCCTCTGCAGTGTCTGTGTCATGTGGCAGCTCGCACCTCGTGATCTCCGTGCCGGTGGATCTCTTTGGGTCCGGTGTGGTAGTTGGTGCCAGTGAACTGACTCTAGGAGCTGGCTGTGCTGTGACAACAGAACGCTCAGATCAGCTCCTGCTGGAATACCCTCTTTTCTCCTGTGGGGCCACCAGAAAAGTAAGGAAATAGCATGATCCAGACCCTTTGTGCTGTGTTTGGGGGATCCAGGGTCACTCTGTGTGAAAGACTGATTGAAGAAGCAGGTACCCATTTCTGGACAATGACAGGCTCTCCCTGCATGTAGGTTGTAGTTCCTGTGCTTAATGTAACCAGAGACACAGATCTTAGTGGCTCATCTAGGAAACTCAACCAGGTATCCTATCCAAAGAATCTACCTGCTTTTTTGCATGTAGCAGGTTAAGGGTGCTGAACCATCTTCAGCCTGAAGGCCAGATTCCCTTTCAGAAAAGCTTTCCTAGGCTGGATTTCAGGGGTGTGTGGGTCTTGGGAGAAAAAGGGTGGTGCCAGCATATTTTACCTGAAATCTCATACTACCAGAAACTAAGCTTTAGCCTGTTAAAATGGGGGAAATGCACAGAAGCAGAGAATCGATGGTTAGAAGAAGAGGGCATGGCCATCTGGTGAATCCCAGGTGGCCCAATTTGGTCCCCAGAAAGGCCAGGCTTGGCCCCTGGGCTTAAGGCTCTTCACCCCTACATTAGGAGGTTTCTTATGGAATGGGAAACTCACAGTGCACTTTCCAGATCTTAACTTTTCCTACACCATGTGATGAATTCCTATTGTTGAGGCACCTGTAAACAAATCTTCCCCAGAGATGTGCCACTGAGATGCAATGCAATCATTCCCCTCCTCCCCAAGAATGAGGTGTCCATGCGGGCTCAAGAACAGAGCTTGCATCTGGCTCTGAAAGATGCTAGAAACCAGAGATGGCTTGGTGTGCTCTGGTGGAACCTTCTTGGAATGTTCTTTTGGGGCTATTCTGAGGGAAGTTCTTAAGCAAGTTTAACTTCGGCTTCACTGCAAAATCCTAAACTACTTGGGTGAAACCAACATTACCAAGTATGGGGTAATGTTGAACTGAGAGGCTATGAAATGTCAAGTACTATGTTGCTGAACTATAATCTCCTCCAAATGTCAGCACTGTGGTTTGAGGTTTCTTGCTTGGATTGGAGGCCTGTGTTGATTGTTGCTGAACACAGTGCTGTAATCACCATCTCCAAACCTGTGAATCTTGTCACTACGAAGACACAATAAGTTTCCAAGGCTTTTCTCAAAGTTCTCCTCTTATTCTATTGGGAAACTAGGAGCCAAATTCAAAAGGTGGATCTCCTGAAGACAGGATACGGAAGTATAGAATTAAACTGTAACCCTCTTGGGTCCAACTTATTCTCCCACTTGAATGCATTTCAACATGTCCATCCCAAGTATACTTCTAGCAGTATAAAAGCTGGGGATTTAGAGAGCACCTGCTGGAGGAAATAGGGTGGTTACTTATACATGGCCAAAAAAGAGGAATTGCACCATGAAAAAGAGAGAACCAATTTGCAAAGAATTGCAAAGTATTGCAATACATGCAGATTTATTTATAAATTAAAATTTGGGTATAAGAACAGTAATTTAGATAAAAATGTGGGAGTCTGACCAGGTGACCTGTGAGGTGGTCCTGTCCAAGAAGCTGTGCAAGTACTACCTGTAGAAGGACAGCTTCTACCTCCCAATGGTTCTCTGACTTTAGTACACACATGGACTGAACAGCTCATCAAATAGAGAATGCCTCACCAAAGAGAGGGTGGTTTTATTCCTACCCTCCACACTACAGCCTTGTCCTCTATGAAGAGGGGTTCCTGCCCACTCTGAAAGGATACCTCAACTGGCTGACCTTTGGAGACTCCTGACTTGTCTCTGCTCTGCGTAGCTTGATTAGAGCCATCAGTTGATTGGAAGGCTGGAAGCTCATACGTGTAAGGCATAGTATGTAGCATGAAAAAAAAAAAATCCATAAAAAGTAACCTCAGTTGAACTTTTATCTGACTTCTAGCTTCTTCCAGATAGCATTCATTATAGAAATGTTCTCCACTACAATCCTGTGGCTCCAAATGGGGTGATCCGGGCCAGGGGCTTCTCTCATCTCATCGACTGCTTCTATCCTAGGTAAGTCCTGGTTCTCTAAGGGGTATTGTACTAGTGAAAGATGCCTCACTGCGGAACAAATTCCACATCTATGAAATGTCATGATAAGCAATTTATTTAGAAGTTGATTCCACTTTTCCATCATACACAATGTGCATTATTAAAATACTAGCCAGTTCTGAGCACATAAGTCATCGTGAAAAGGGGATGAAGGAATTGATCTAAGAACATGTATTAATCTAAGGGATTGATCTAAGAATTAAAATACAGAAAGTATTTTCTGTATTTTATACAGAATACAGTATATAAATACTATATAAATACTATATTTATACAGTATAGTATAAATATTTATAGTATATAAATATACTGTATATATTTATATATACTATAAATATTTATAGTATATAAATAATATATTTATACAGAATATAGTAAGGACTTCACCACAGGAGAATCAAATGGCAGATACTCCAGGTGACACTGCTAGTTTTCACCAGAATTCATCACTGGGGCAATGCCATTAGGTATAGCTCTGACTTGTGGGAGAAACAGAGGATGTGAATCGATGGAGTCTGGTGTCTCCTAGGTCCTGGAACATCTCATCTCTTGCACTCCAGCCCACTTGGGTCCCTTTCAGTTCCACGGTGGTGGACAGACAACGCCTGAACTTTGCCCTTGAAGTTTATGACAGTGAGTGTATTCATCAGCCGAAACTTGTCGTCTGTATATTTACAGAAAGCTGTAATGTTAAGGAAACCTGGGGTTTGTTTGTCTTGATTAAAGCCTTGAATGGACAAGATTGTCACTGGAGAATAGAAGGGGTATTGAAAGACGGCTTTGTTTACTTGAGGTGTGTGGGTGTTCCACTCACATCACTAGCAAATGAGTTTTGCCAGCTTTCAAAGTTTATTTGATCAAAGGTCACAGGGGCAAATCAAACTGCAACACAGGACACTGCCTTATGTGAAGCCAGGCTCTTGGTCCGTCCAGCCCAGTATTGCTGGCACTGAGTGGCAGCAGCGGCTCGCCAGGGTTTCAGCAGGAGCTTTCGCAGCCCTGCCTGGAGATGCCAGGAAGTGAAGCTGCGTTCTTCTGCATAGCCCAGGGCCTCTGCTGCAGGGCTATGGCCTCTTCCTTGCGTATGCCATCAGAAGTGATGCCACTCTCCAACAATTGACTGTTTCTAGTCTTGGTTTATAGGGTAAGTGGCCTATCAAAATGGCTGTGAAGATGTAAAAATGGTTCTCCTATGTGAAAGGTCAGTATTTAACACAGAGTACTCAGGCTTCCCCGCAATTCATCAGGAGCTAAAACTTCAGCAGCACAGGCAAATGTGGTCTGTGGCTACACTGCTGATCTAGCAAATCCATTGCTTGCATCCTGCCCATAGTAAGGAACTGGATCAGATCCGGAGGTGGACATCACAGGGCACCTGAGAGGGCCCCCAGTCCCTGAAGCATGTGCTTCTGCTCGTCGCTGTTGCTGCCTGTGCCCCTTCCCCCCGGAAGCCAGCAAGTGAGCACAATCAGAAGCAGGAATTTCTGCTCAGCTTGTCTGGGCTAGTCCTGCATTGTACCCAAACTGGGAGCCCATACAAATGAGTGGCAGGGACAGTAGTAGGAGGAAATGAGCTGGCTTTCAAGAATATCTTGCCCCAGAGCCGCTCAAAACCTGGAGCTGCCACGGGCAGGAAAGGTACCTGCATTCTGCAATGACACAGGCACCCACGACCGCGGCATCTGTAGGGGGTGCTATAATAAGAACTGTTTCCCAGGTACTTGGTCACTGCCAGTGTCTGAGCCCACCTACTATCTCGGGGACCTAATCAACATCCAGGCATCAGTCAGGAAGGGCAACCACGTGCCTCTGAAGATCTACGTGGATGAGTGTGTCGCCCGACCAAGTGCTGAGTCAACTGTGAAATACGAGGTCATCACAAACCACGGGTGAGGTGCTGCCTGACAAATGTTGGTAGATGTGGGGGAAGTGAACCTTGGAAATCAGGGCAGAAGACGTAGGAGCTTGGGAAGCAGTTCCTCATTTCTGTGCACACTGGCATGCGTGTAAGGAACTTAAAATTGAGACTTTGAGTGTGAGCTCCCCTAAGCTTGGGGGGGGGGTCAACTCCTTGGGAACATCACCCCCCTCATTGCAATTGCCACCACTGACTTTGCCACCACAACAAAAAAGGAGCCTGCTGCTTGCTTAGGAGCAGAATCTCACTTCTGGGAGGCAAGCACGATTCTGCTTCTAAATAAGGTGCATGTACCTCATGCATGTTTTGTTAAAAAAAAACACGGGTCTTTTTGTTGCTACCATCATGGCCTGTTTCTGAAGTAAGATGTTTTGATGTGGAAATGAACCAGCTCTGTGGCTGTATGTCTAGGTCAGGAGTGAGCAATCTGTGGCCCTTCTGATGTCGCTAGACTTCAGTTCCCATCAACCCCAGCCAACATTCCCAAGGTGGCATGGTGGAGCTGCAGTCCAGCAACATCTAGTGGGCCTCATGTTGCCCATCCACAGTTTAGGTTTCGAGTGAAGTAGTAAATACGGTATTGATGGGGCCGGTTGGGTGTTCGTGTCTGCGTCCGTCCATCTTGCAGGTGCCTCGTCGATGGGCAGTACGGCCACTCCCGCTTCCTTGCCCCGCCAGGAGATGGAACCCTCCGCTTCCAGCTGGACACATTCACCTTCACTGGGGCCTCCAGCAACCAGGTTGGGATGTGGGGAGAGGGATGCAGAGAACCGAATGCCTAAAGGTGGGGCTAAGGCTCCCCCACTGTGATCACAGCGATTACTGTCCCAGGGTGGGGAGCTTTTGGGAAATCTAACGGCACTGACTTTGGGGGAGGTGCACTGGACGCCTACAGATGCTTTGGACTGTAGCTGCCATAATTCCTGCCCGCATCATGGGAGCTGCTGTCCAGTACATGTGGAGGGCACCAGCTTGCCCATCCAACCTACATAGACGTGACACCTGACGACCTACATGGGGATGAGGGAATGATCACGGCAGCCTCCTTTTAGCCTTTCTGAGCCCATGGAGATGATCGCATCATCTTTCCCCTCTATCTCACCAGGGGTGTTAATGACAAGCCACCCATAATATGGCTTCCATATAGCTGAAGTGCCTGATCCTGCCTAATTTTGGAAGCTAAGCAGGGTCAGGCCTGATTAGAGTCTGGATGGGTGACTTCAGTGTATGATTCTATGATTATTGTTGTGAACTGCCCAGAAAGCTTCAGCTATGGAAAGTATGGAAATAATGATGATGATAATAGCAGCAGCTGCTTCAGTGTAGAAGCCTTTCATTCTCGTATCAGTCCTTGTACTTGACTTCTAGGTTAGTGGACCTACCCTTGTCTATTGAACTGGCGCTACAAGGGCCTTCCTGGGCCCTATCCAGGATTCTGAGCCGCAGCCCAGCACTGGGCTCCGCAGCACTTTTTGACCAGGGGCACATCTGCTATTTGAGCTACTATCCCGGGCTGCAGTGGGAGCCGTAGCAAAGGGCAAGATACTTACCTGAAAAGAGTGTGCAGAGGGGGAGGTGGCATCTGAGTCCCCACATGGCAAACTCCCCTGAGCCAAGTTTACAGCACCGACAAACTTAGAGTAACCGTATTAATTGTTTTCAAAAGTAGGAGTGGGCGAGCATCTTAGCAGACCGCAAGAGAGGAGCCGGGGGTAGCGTCGATGGGCATTGTGGCCTACCTTGGACCTAACCAGAAGCATAATTTCCGTCTTCAGATCTACCTGATCTGCCATTTGAAGGCAGTATCTGTCGGCTCCGTGGACCGTCTCAACAAGGCCTGCTCCTACGATCTGGCGATGGCAACCTGGAGCTCCCACGAAGGGGCAGACTGCTCGTGCTGCGCATCTCCAGGTGGCTGTGGCACCCGGAGGAGGAGGAGGAGGGGGCAGCCCCAACAGCGGAAAGGTGAGCTCACCCCCCTGACACCCCCATGTCATGTGATCTTTGGGTTAAGAGGCTGCTGGCAGAATTCTCCTCAGACTCCAAACAGAGGCAGTCACTTAACTGTAATGTGCATGGCTTTGCTAGCTTGCATCACCATAATCATGGGTCTGCATTCTCAAACCACAGCGTGTATTTACAGGAGACTTGAAATAGTTCATCTTGCTTTATTGCAGGGAGAGGCTATATCAGAGTAGGGGATGGCTGTCCCTCCACCCCCAGCTCTTCATGGACTTCCACTTCCATCAGTCCTAGGCAAAGGCAAGGGATAACTGGAATTGCAGGGTAGCTACAGCTGGAAGGCTGAATGTTTCGCTTCATTTCATTTATTTCATTTCTATATCACCCAACAGTCAAAGCTCATATTATGAGTGCTAGCACTACAACATTTCAGATTAGTTACACAAAAGGCAAAGTCAAATACAACATAGGGCTAACCATTAAATCAACCTTTCCTATGCACCAAGGCATTAATAAACAGCACAAACGGCAACCAGCTACCCTGAGAGTGCAAAGCACCACCGGATTTCCTCTAGCCAGCAACAGCTGCACTCTCCCCTGCTCCACTTCCTCATCTTGGTGCGATTTGCAAAGCTTCCTTAAAAGGAAGGGTGGTGTTGGCTATTCTCTTCCAAACTCTTTCTCTTCTGCAGTCTTTGCTTCTGCTCTTTCAAATATACTGATCCTGACCCAGAGCGAGGGTAGTTCCCTGCCCCTGGAGAAGACTGAACTAAACTGGCTGGATGATGCATTAGAGCACAGGGCATGCAGATCAGAAATTAGGAGTGTCTGACGTGAGGCTGGCCCTGTCATTAGGCAGACAGGCGCCTGCCTCAGGTGGCAAATGGCAGGGACAGTAGGCAGCAGTAAGGGCACAACTCTGGGTACCGTGAAGCTTTCCCTGCACACCCATGCTAGCCAGCTGCCCTTGAGTGCAGTAGGGGCACTATCCTATCCCCAGGAGTAAACCAAGATATGGCTACCAATCTGGTACGTCAAAAGAGGAGAGGGGTAGCAGCTTGTTCTCTCTTCAGCAGACACTTTTGGTCAGCCCCTCTCCAATCTGTGCTGTTTCCTTACAGGGCTGTTTGGAGAAGCAAACCTGAAGTTTGGTCCTATCAGGGTGAATGCAGAGCGGATGAACTCCTCCAGCACCTTGGACCCACTCTCTGTGTTGAGCACTTCCACCACACCCAAGACACCTCATGCTGCCAGACTGCCTCCTAACCAAGTGGTCAATATCATCATGAGAGGGGGAGTGAAAGAAGGTTCCTCAGGTGAGAGCTCCAAATTGTCATGTGCTTGGAAAGGCGCAAAGGTCCTTGTTTTGTTTATGACTGAGCCTGTACTCAACCCCTCCCCTGCCTCGGAGGGTTGCAGGAGGAAGCCTTCCGTGGGCTTCATGGCTCTGCCCTTAGTTGGGAAAATGGTACACAAGTGTGGGAAGATAGATCTGTGCACCAGACTGATTCAAAGATACAGTTAGTTTGCATGGGGAAATTCTGCCCCAGGGAAATCCAGATTCCGTGTCACGCATAAACTCTCTAGATTAATTGTAGAAGCTGACATCTGCTTCCTAGTCTCAAGGCAGTGGTGGTGAGAGAAAAGTGGTTTGTAAAACAGAAGCAATGGAAAACCTGTCCCTGAAAATTATGAACAAAGATGTTCAAGCCTGTCCTTTCGAGGAGATCTTTTTCAAAAGATCACCTTTGAAGAGCTTTGTGAAATTAGCAGTAGTAGTGATACAATAGGGGAGTCTAGTAGGTACAGCTTTTCTGACCATTGTACAATGATTTGCACCTACCAGAGATCCTTCTTCCTGACTGGAATTGGAGTTCAACTCCAACATTCTTGGAGGGCACCAAGTTGGGGAAGGCAGACTTGCCTTTTATAAGACTGCCAACAAACAAATTTGGGACTTGAGATTCCTGAAAGGCAACATAGATGCTGCTGCTTTTTCTAAAATTGTTTTTCTTGTAAGATTGATAGAGGTGGCCGGATGCAGCATAAGCAGCATCTTGTGGCCCTCTTAAAAGACTAACATGCATTTTAGCATAAACTTTCATGGGTTCATTAGCTGTGTGGAGTGTTATCCCAAGTACAGTCATAAGGGCTTAAATATAAAGTGGTCTGACTTACAGCAAAATCTAGATTTAATAAGTTGCTGGCTTACTTTCAAAGGAGTAGGGAGTCAGTCTAAGTTGCCAGAGTCTATATTAAAGAATTCTAACTCAAACTATTTGTCTAAATAAATAAATTTTAAAAGAGCTGCCTGTTAGCGACATGGTCTCTGGGTGGCTACTACAATATAAAATCAACAAATAACATTAATGAAACAATACAATTAAAATATTGTAATAGAATAAATTCACAATAAAAG